CCACGGACACTAAACCATTAAGCAATTCAGTGAAACCTGCACAGAGTCAGACAACATGTGTGAAACCCAGCAGAGCAGGAGGTCCTTCCTCCAGAGGGGTGGTTGCTGTGCTGCCCCTCACCCCTGCATTCAGTGCTGCCTGCCCAGTGCCTGCCGGTGCTCCCCCCAGCACCCTTGCTGCTCTCCTTGCCTCAGGTGGGCAGTGTCACATCCAGCGGGGATGTGGCATCCTGGGGCTTGCCATGCACACCAAGAGAGCAGTGCAAGCAGGGAAGAAACACTATTTCCCATGTGCACTATGTACACATGCAGGCCTTGGAAGTCAGACATCATTCAGTGTATCCATGGGATATTCTTGAGTTTTCTTACTGAAAATTCCCACCTCCCTTTCTCCTGTTGACCCAAAGAGCAGTCAGAATTTGGCTCTGGGCAACCCATGCCTAACTGGAGGCTTTTGAGTACATACCCATGGAGTATGTGCTTAGAAACCACTGCCAATTAGAAAATAATTCAATTTTAAAATCACTGAGGCATACATATCAGAACTCCGAGGAAGTGTGTTACACTCCTCATGTTCTTAGCAAATCATTAACCAGGTGATGAGACAGTGCTGGTGCTGTAAAGGATAGGTGTGCTCTCACATGGGACCTTGTCCTCGCTGTCTGACAGCAGGGAACTCACTGCAGCAAAATTGCTAAAATCACAATCAGTACACTGAATTTCGGTGTCTTTAGGCAAAAAGCCACTACTGTGATGATCTTTCCTGATGCTCACAGAGGATAAATGCAGTAATATTGCAGGCCCCTGTGTGAAGGGGTCACTGAGAGAGGAGGTCGGGCTCGCTGCAATGTCTGTAGGAGATTTCTGGGGTGAGAACACTACAGGCAGGGGGGAGGCAAGGAAGTCATCAGGCTGCATGCTAACATCATACATTCTCTGGTCATGTTGGGATTCACCCTATTTCTTTCAGCCATCCCTACCCAGTGCTGTGTCCCTACACCTGTAGGTCACCGGCCCATGCTCCCTTCTAGAAACAATGGCAGGAGCAAGGCTTCTCCGTAGCCTTTCTGGAGCATGGTGAAGAGCATTACATGGTATTCGTTTTTTAACTGGAGAGGGATACATTTGTAGACCTAGAGGTCAGTGTATAAATCTGCCATATTTAAAAGGGCAGGTGGAGCACCAGCAATGTGCTGTTTAGTGTAATTTTAACACAGGATGCCACATGTGCCTTGGGTGCTGCCACACACTTAGTATTATAGGGGTCCTACAAGCAGACAAGCACCAAAGAAACCACGATTTGTCTTGCCGCTGCTTGTGGGTCAGACACAGGAAAGCTTTACACAGTGTTTTCAGCTTTACAGTCTTCAGAGGCATTGCAAGGAATGAGCTGTAGAGTTCGCTTTTGGAGATTCAAGAATTTACTAGTACAGAGAGATCTCACCAGTAAAATGCCATTAGTATCCCTTAGCACCTCATATCTTCTCATATGGAAAAGGTGAGGGGGGTAATGGGTACAAATTACTCCTGGGGAGATTCCAGTTGGACACAAGAGGGCAGTTTTTCACAATGAGAACAATCAGCCACTGCAATAATCTCCTTAGGGAAGTGGTGGATTCCCCAACATTGGACACTTTTAAGGTTCAGCTGGACAGGGTGCGGCACATCTCATCTAGGTCATGCTTTGCCAATAAAGGTTGGACCAGATGATCCTTGACGTCCCTTCCAACCTGGTGTCTATGATTCTGTGACTCTCTGGGTGCCACAACATTCTGTAAGAAGCATTCCTAGAGAGAAAGAAGGGCTGTAGCTGATTGTAGGATGAATACTGCAAACCCAAGTAGTGCCATATTAATGAATAATTCCTTAGTGTAGTATTGTTCCAAATACAAAACCTTTCTTCTTGCAGTTAATGTCATGATTAAATTACTTAAACCTGTACATGCCCCGTAATTCCTATTGCTGATCTGATCTATCTTCTTAAAAAGAGCTTTTTATAACAGTTATTACACTATAATTGGCATTTTGTGTGTACTTAGACTTTTTTTTTCTTTCTGTATTTATTTTATTTTATTTGGCCTCTGTGAGTTTGGCCATTTTGGTCTTGGTGCGCTCACTGCTGTGACTCATGTATTCCACAGCTACTGCCAGGTCTCTCAGACCAGCATAGTAATTATTGTATTAGGATCTGTCATTGTAGCCCTGACTTAATAAATAGCAAGAGCAGTGATTAGAATCGCTGATTGATCCATTCCACAGTTTTGGACACTCACATCTGAGATGAACAGAGGGATTGTGGATATTAAGGGTTTGAAATGTCAGCATTCCAGATTAAGTTAGTATTAATTAGTCATTCCAGGTACACTAGCTGCTATATATAGTAAACTTTTCTATATTTGATAATCTGGTGATGATCAGCTCTAACCATGACTTAGATTCATCTCATAAACTAAAGAAAGCCCCAGCCCTTCATCTGTGCCTAGTTCATTGGAGCTGTGCAGATCACAGGAGATGACTGTGTCTCTTTTCAGGTGAAACTCATGGTGCCCTTGAGGAGCATAACTCAGGCATTGCAATCCCAGGTGGACATTCAGTCCACAGGGCCAGGCTAGACCTGGTCAGAGCAGGAACACATTGAGTGTGGATGCTCAGCACCAACTATCTAACTCCACATCCAGAGGTCCGACAGTAATACATCCTGATGGGTTCTGAGCAAACAGGAGCATCAGTTCCATGGAAGGGATGCTACTGCTGGTGGTTCTTTACCCCACAGCTTCCTCCGTGCTCTCCCTGAAAAGTCAGGGCAAAACAGAAGCCTTCAGGGTGTACCAAGAAGACCAGTGGGAGGATGACTGGGACATACAAGGTGAAGGCAGCTCTTTAAATTGTTTTGGTCCAAAGGCAGTGCCATGCTATTCAGAAGGACCAGACCTGGTACAGCAGCAGCTCCAGAAGACAGACTTGCAGTGATGTCTGTTCCCCATTGTCATGGGAAAAAGGTGTTGATACGTCACGCTGTGCATGACCACCACAATGCTCTGTGGCAGCTTGTGACAGCCCTGGGGAATGGGCCCACCGCACAGGGTTTTTTCTTTAAAAAGCCTATGTTTTAGAAGAAAACTTTGTTATCCTGAGAAAGAGTGGAAGGAGATGAGTGAGAGCATGAAAACTTACTAGGTAACTCCAAATTTTTATGATACCATCTATACATCCAGTGATGCTGTGAACATGGATGCCTTTTATCCCTAAAGGCTGTATGATCAACATGGACATTTTATATTTCTTCAGAACCTGCTTGGTTTAGATTTGTTGGGTCCATAGTTTGACAGATATAGAATAAACTCAGGAAATGTGCTTGTTGTGTTCAGCTATGCTTTAATTTCTTTAAAATAATATTAAAAACTTGTTTAATTTGTGCATTTTGTTTCCATTCCTGAATGGAGAAAAGGTTCTGAGAGTTTAAAAGTTCTGAAAACTAGTATCAGAGTGAGTATCATTCTCTAGACTGCTCTGGGTCAACCTTAAACTGCATGCTGACAACTCAAAAGCATTCATTCAAAATCCAGAGACAGGCATCTTGTCTGTGCTCTGTTCAACATGTTCGTTTTTATTCTTGCCAACAGTTTATTCTAGATCAGGAATTCCCTTCCAGGGAGATCTGAATACAGCACAAATGCAGAGTCATTCTGCAACATGGTATCTTACCCTTAGAGAACAGCTAAAAGTCGTCCCCTCAGCAAATGCAATTTTGGGCACTCAGTAAGCTCACTGCTTTCCAGATCATTTGATGCTTGAAAGCTGCATAGCCCAAGATGGTGAACCTAATTCTCACCCTACGAGTGTTGCATTTCACTGCCTTCATCAAGGAAGATGAGCTGCTAGGCTGGAAATTTGGCTTTTCTGAGCCAACTATAGGCAAAAAGTAATGACTGTACCTCAACACTGAACTCTAAGGTGTGCCCACAAAAAACAGCCTAGTCAGGAGGAAAATAACACAATTGTGCCCAACAGTAATTCAGGATGAGGGCCCACCATGCCAGCTACCTGCTTTCCATCCCTGTATGCAGTATTTCACTTCTTTTCATCTCCAAAACTGGGGTAACAGTACTCATCCACCTATCTAAAGTGTTTTCAGACTTAAGGCCAAATGCCCTATTTAGGAATAATTTGGTTTTATCTCTGTCACTCCAAACCCGAGGGATAGGGTGTGCTTATAGCTTTGAGGGTCCAGGTGATTCTTGCTTTGTAATCCTAGGTTGCTAAGTAGCCTGTGTTCAGAGGTGTAAGAAATCCTCACTGCACTTTTCATGTAGCAATCTTGCCCAGCATTCAGAATATTTTCTCAACTTGATAAAATTCTTAGGGATTTCCCACTGAGGCTCAAAAACAGTCATATATTTTATTTCTTTTATTACAAGGCATGTAAGTAAAAACTTGAGTATCTGAAAAAAGATATTAGATAGAAAACAGTAATAAAATTAACATTATTCTTTTAAGAAACTTGGTAATAAATACATTTCCCCTCAACATTAAAATGCTTGTTATTTTGCACAACAATAAATACAGCATAACTCTAGCATAGAGAAAGGCCAAGGCTGGATACAAGAAGTCCATGTGGTTTCTTAGAAATGCTCAAAAGTGATTTATAAAGGTTTGGCATCCTGCACTTGATGCATTTTGATACAACTTGCACTTTAATTTTAATTTTATTATGATTCTTAAACAGTCCCATAACATGAAAATAGGAGAGGAAAATTTGTTTGATTATAGGGTTTTTCCTTTAAATATTTGCAAAGTCAGAGATGTGTAAACTCATTGAAACCAATCCTTGACATTAAAAAAAATTAAAAAATAGTGTCTTGGTGGCTATTCTACAACAATGCAGGTTTTCAGCAGTGGGTGCTCAAGCCTGACCAGCCAACTGGCAAAGGACCAATCCACAGTCAATTCCTCAATTCTTTACACAGTTTTAAAAAAGAAATAATAATAACAAGAAGAAAGAGTAAGGAGTGTTCACTTCCCAAGTCGTTACTGTTTGAAGTTCTTACACTATTATCCAAAGGTGAGAAGAGAAAGAGCAGGTATATTCCAGAACACTTCCCAGCATAATTTTGGGCCATTCTGGTCTATACTTTTCTTTTAAAACTACTGACAAAAAAAAAAAAAAAAGGAAGAGAGATATTTCCATGCACTGTGCTGTTCTTAAGCCAGCACGTATAATCACAATCACAGCTGTGAACCTAAGTCACTTTGATAGCCCAATCTAATATAGATTGATTGATTGTCCCACGACATAGTTAGATACTGTCCACAAAATGCCACAAGCTCTGGCAGAGTCCAATGTTCTTAAAGTACTGATAGGTCATGGCAAGACTTGGACTTGAGTTTGAAGGCCATGTTCTTGTTATTCTTGGCAACTATTTTGCCCCAGAACCGCCTGGCTTTCTTGGGGATGCTCTCCCTCCGTTTCTGGTATGCCAGCCGCTTCTCGTTCTTCTCCTTGCTGTCCCTACGGAGCCGCACTTGCCGCACGATGCCTTCAAACAGCTCTTTCACGTTGTGCTGCACGGCTGCTGAGGTCTCGATGAACTTGCAGTCAAACACGACGGCGCAGGCTCGTCCCTCTGCAAAATTGCAAGGTGGGTATGTCACGAGGCATCACGAGCAGGGGGGGCAAAGCGGCTCAGGGTTGTCATGTGCAGGGAGCCACTGTCACAGGGGGGAATTCCTCAAGCCTAATATAGGCACGGATAAGTCTTTAATCGCCTGGTGCTGCCTGCTAGCCCATGATTCATCTGCTCTGTGTCACAGTCCCTTCCCAGCGAGGGGGGGCAAATCCCCTCCTAGAAAAGCCTGGTCCCCCCCTTGGCTGTGAAGGGAGCTGGGGTTGACCAACTTGCACTGAGACACCGGAGGCTGAGAGGTCAGCCATGGCTGAAAACCACCTGGTCATCTTACGTGCCAGCTCCCTCAAGTCGCATTAAAGGGTGATGACAGCACCCTCCCTGCACACCACACAGCACAGGAGGCAGGGCCCAGTCCTCCTCTATGGGTCATCAGTGTAAACCAAGGTCTTGGGACAGCAGCAACTTCGGCATGAACAGACACATGTACAAAACCCTTAAATAGAGGCAGAACTATGTCTACGGCTCTAGAGGTTCACCTGAAGTCATAGTTCTTATCCTTAGTTACATGAGCCTAACAGCTGTCTTTCACACAAGCAAATTTATTCTGTCTTCTGGCTTGTTGTAAACTCATCACCAGGATGACTAAAGTGACATGAATGCACTTGCCATCTTTCAAGAGACTTTTTAAGTGGGGCAGAGAGGAACTAGAAGGCAAATAGACATCCCTGGGCTCCAAGTGAACTCCTCAGTTCAATCTCTTCACCTGGGGCAACTGTGACAGGAGCCATAGGAACTGTGCACATTCCCAGTGGAAAAACAAATAAAACCTAGCTCAGCTGGGAAATAGAAGGGAACAGCTGCAGAGTGAAGGTAATGCTGAGCAGAAGAACCCATGTTTCTGATGGGCCAAGTTGAGATCATCTAATGCATTGCCCTGTGTTATGTTGTGTCACCTAAGCCTCAGGGAGACTCTCCGAGAAGAGGTTTTACTGACTGTGGGCCTTGAGCTCCAGCAGCAGCTTTCCCAGCAGTCTCTCCATTCCTATTTATGGGCTTAGTGTGTAGTCACTTGTGTGCAGTGAAGGGAGGGCTGGTTTAGCATCCCAAAGCACGACAGCAAGGAGACCTCTCCTGAAAGGCTACACAGACCCTGCCCAGACTAAAGAAAAGAAAGGGGGAGAGGGAATTTTAATTCATCAGGGAGGACAGAAAACCGGTTATAAAAAAGATATAATCTTTGGCAGCAGAACAAAGGGGCTAAACTTGTTATACATAAACATGTACTGGAAATACAAAATGTTTCCAGCTACCAGGGAAATCACATTCTGCAGTGCTCTTACACTGGGAGCTGAAAAGGAAGAAATTCAAGCTACTTTTATGATAGTTCTTAATAAATTTAGGAAAGGGATTGTCTGGCATGTAACAGCATTACCAAGGGAGGCTTAGGGACCTGGTAGACCTTTCCCTGTCCTCTGCCCTGTTTCAGTTCTCTGTTGGTTTATTGCTCTTTTATTGCCCAGTCCTGATCACAATGTATTCCCTTGGCCAGAGCTCTGCAGTTTGTTCAAAAGCTACTAGGTGAGTCTTAATGTTGACATTGGTCTTATACTCATCATTTTCCTTACCTGCCACAGAAACTTCACGACACCTGACAAGGTCACTTTTGTTGCCAACCAGAATAATGGGGATATCTTCCTTCTGTCGTGCCCTGCGGAGCTGTATTCTGAGTTCAGAGGCCTTCTCGAAGCTTGCTCGGTCTGTGATGGAGTAGACAATCAAGTACGCATCTCCCACTTGCATGCAGTGGTCTCGAATCCATTCTCCTTCACGCTGTTCAAGTGAAACGGTCAGACATTGTTATGCCCAGAGCAGATTTTACTTAGAAAGTACAACATTAGAGAATCCAAATACATTCCTGCTGTAACTGTAATGGGTATGGTTTGAATCACAGTTATACTAAAAGTAATTCCAATGCAGTGATGGTATGAATACTTCACTACAAAGGAGGGCAAAACTTGCCCCAGATAATTCATTGTGCTGACTTTAGACTGGAATGAACATGGTCTGGAAAATGGCTTAAATGTTTTGGTTTATCATTAAAAAAATAAAGAAGGCTTGTGCTTCTCAGGCTCACTCTACAGAGCCGTTAGGCACGCTTGCCTTGGAGCAGGGGTGGGGTTAATCCTGTATTTTCCCTGATGTTGATGTATGGAAAACACCTACTTGCTTTCCAAAAGATACCTACTTTTGACATTAACAGTCATTCATATACCCTTTTGTTTTGACATATGACTAGAACAAATTAAAGTACCTTATTATCCCACATGTCAAGCAGTATAATGGTTGCACTTTCCCCATCCACCATCAGTGTTCTTTCATACGTGTCTTCTGGAAAGAAAAGCAGAAGAGTTGGTAATATATTATTTTGTGGCATCATGTACATTACAAAAAACAAGTAGTTGAACATGTATAATTTGTTCACAGTTCAAGTTATTGAGCCAAATTTTATGCTGGCTCACATTCAGTTCTTTCCTCATTTCCATCAGCACTGAACCTGCACTCTGTTCATTACTGGTTGTCTTACTTTCCATGATATATGAAGGAGGCTGAAAGATCAGGAAATGATATGTTCATTATTTTGGCTGATATTCTCTTTATCTTATGTGGGAGAGAGAAAATAGAAGCAGTGGAAGAAATAACCAAAGGCTGAACATTTGCCCCATGGGAGAAGCAGAGTCCAGCGAGGCTGAGTAATGGAAAATATTTGCTTTCGCTTTAGGAGGGACAGTTTACGGGTGAACAGTCACTGCTGCTGAGAGCAATACCACTAACAACCTACCAAACGATGAGGACAGGGGGTTTTCAGACAAGCTGTTGAGTTTTAGAGAGACTGAGATTTCTATTGCACCCTAGTTGTCTCCCATTTCACAGTTTCCCACATTACCTTTGATGTTAAAAACCCCACAAGAACAAATAAACCACAGAAGTTCAGTTACTTCATTCTGAGACCACAAAAATTCATACCTAGATTGTAAGTGCCATGTGACAAAGTTGTACTTAGATGTGAGGGGGCTGTTTCCACTCATAATTTTGATCAACCCTTGCTGTGAAATCTCAGTCTAGGTTCTGCTTCAAATTACTTCCTTCTTTTCCCCAAACCCGGGAATATGTGGATGAGTGATAAGGGTCTTGGACCCATCTCTAGTCTTGTACTGCTGGTCAGTGAAAAATGCTAGGCATACAGCTTCTGAGGATACCACCCCTGTCACTGCTTTAAGGGGTCTGTCCCAACCACACTTGTAAATAGGACTGTGTCTTAACCCTTGACTCATAAAACTTCTGCTGGGCATTAATGGAGTGAACTTCCCCCTAAATTCTAATCAGAACCTTTCCTTGAAGCCAGGAATCTACATTCATGCAAAAGAATGAGCCAAAAATATTACATGTTTAAAATTAAATAAAAAAGTCCCCTTGCCTTAAAATGGCAAGATTAAAAGACAGAGGTAATCAATAGGAGCAGTTTCCCTTGTAGGTCCAATAGCATGACATTATGTGTTCATGTGTAAGCTTAGCCTTACAGTCAGTAGCAAAGCCTGCCCATAAAACAGCTGTATTCTCTCTGTGAATTGGCTACCTGAAACCATCCTCTCTTGTAATCAATTTCCAGTTTGCAAGCTAAAGTTTGGAGAATATTTTCTTCAACTGGATGCACATCTGTGTAGGAACAAGCTCCATATACAGCAGAGGACAACATCCAGAGGAGACTTTCTTCACTCTGTTACGCATGGAGATGCTACAAATATGTAATCACACTCCCTGAATATAATATGCCCAAATGGTCAATAGCTAGCACTCATTCACATCTTGGTGAACCCTAAGGAAATTCCATAGACTATGAAACACACTGAAAGTGAGCAATTAGTTCACCTCATGCTTATTTAGAAGCTGACACAGAAAAAGGAGAGATATAACAACAGCAAGTTTTCCAACATCTTGGCAGAGATGGCCTTGAAAACCTGTCGCTGCTACGCTTCAAGCAATATTGCTAGGAGTGCAAAGGAAAGAGGAAACCATATGGCTTCTCATGGAGAAGAAAACTGTCTGACAGGGCTGTGCAAAGTAAATCAGCTGCACTTTCTGACTGCTTGCCCAAGGGTCCTACTCTAGTTCCCTCATGTAGCACTAGGAAAACTTTTATTGGAGATACCGCAGCCTGGTGGTATTATTGGAAAAGTGGGTGGTAGAAGCTGTAGACAAAGCACACCTGAACAACTGATTCAGAGTGACTGCGCTGTGGGGAACTTCAAATCCCCCAAAGGCACAAAGATTTGTACTCCCAGTCTGTGCCAGCAAACAAGGAAAATGTAGGTCTGACCTTCCTGATTCTTGGCTGTATTAAATCCTGGGCAGAAGACACAAAATGCTGTCCTGCCTGTGCTCCACTGAAGATTGGAAGAGAAGCCCAAGAACTCTGTGCTAGCACTGGCACCATCACACCAAGGGATTACAGGCAGGAGAGGGAAAGGATAAGGGAGGGACAAGGAAATCCCTGCACACTGTTGAGAAAAACCACCCAGCCAACCACATGTCCTCCGAAGGTGGCATCATCTGCATCCTTAGAACCACAGCAGACTTCCGCTGCAGCCCAACCCCTCAACATCAACATCTTGCATACAGCATAGCTCAGGACTTGGTGCCACACCTTCACCTTCTGCATCATCTGATCTTTGGGATTAAAGAACACTTTGCAATCATAAACAAAGAAGAGAAGGATAGCAAGGAGGAACTATCAAAGAAAACCCTACAGCTTGTGCCTTTTCCCCCTGTTTGGCCAGTGGGAATTTTCCTACACTGCCAAGGGTAGGAAACTTTATCTGTTTTCCTCTGGGGGAACCCATGCTGTGCAAGTAACATGAAATGTGGAGAAAACATATTTTACTCAAACTCCATTCAGGCTACACTGAGGTGATGTGTTTATACAGAAAGGCTGGCATGACTTCTCATGGCAAATGTTTGGGAGGTGACTAAAGGACTCAGCAGTGGCTTTTCTATTTTGCTATATATATTATTTCTAAATAGTTAATTCTTGTAGACCATGAGGACCTTCAGTTGTTTTCTCTCCCCCATAGAAAGCTGGAGTCAGCCTCATGGAACCAGTTGTGACACAGATGTTGGGCCAGCATGAAAGCTGGACCAGCCTCTTGGTTAGCATCATCGCAGGCAGGAATGAGGCAGCTTCCAGCAAGTATTTTGGAATTAAAAAGCATGTGAATCCAAATTGTTCTATAAAGACATTTTCAGTCACTCTTGCTAAATATCTGACTCATCTTATTTTGCTTTCTTGTTTTCTTAAGAGAGATGCACAAGTTGGATCAGTTTTGATGATCAGATCCAAATGTTTATTACCTCAGTTTTTCATTTATCAGCCTCTATGTTTTTCTGTGCCAATTAGAACCATAGAATCGTATTGCTGGCAGAGCTGATTGCAAGCAAACACCAGCACCCCAGGACATAACACTTACCTCCCAGCACCTCACAGTCACTGTCGATGCTGTCGTGCACCCCTGCAAAGATGTTGGCCAGTGAGGACTTGCCTACACCATGCTCCCCAATCAGCACAACCCGGTAGCAGTTGCTGCCAGACTCAGAGGAGATGACAGAGTCGGATGACTCTGAGGACCAGCTCCTTCTGTAATATTCATCAGGGCTGATGGTGTATCGTTTCTGTGGGTTGTACTCGTTGGAGTCTTTCTGGACCAGCAGATTCTTTCCATCAGCAGGGATGCTCCATCGCTGCTGCTGCTGCTGCAGGCTACTGTTGTGGGTGCGACGCATGGTAACATTGTTGAGGGTCATTTTTTACTCCTGGTGAGAAACAGGGAAATCATGAGTGTTACCAGAAAACATTTAGAAATTCGTTAACAGTCTCACATTAACTTCAAGGCATCACGTGCTTTGAAGTGCTTTTCCATAGGGATCTAGCATACAGTAAAAGGAAAATGAAACTTTCTGTACTCTTTCATAGTTGCTGGTACACAAAAGAAGCAGTTCTCATTAGTGAGTTGGAGGCTGTTTCCTAGGGATGATACCACCCTGCCAACCCTAAGTCCTATCTTTGTTTAGCCTTTACAAGCTTGCCACAGTGCTAGGTGCAGCCTAGCCCTGATGAAAGTGGGGCATAGCTGTATCCCAGAAAGAGAAGGAAGGGGCAGCATTCACCAGAGCTCACCAGAGCTGTCCTACATGGAAGCTGCATCCCTGCTGAGAGGCAGCCCATGGTGCAGGCAGCACCTACGGGTACTGCTTCCCATTCTTTGTGCTTAAGGGGGGCAAACAGGGGCACTGGTCCCCATTGCCCCCAACTCCCGGTGCAGCTGGGTGTACAGCATCTTTCATATTGTCTCAGTTAAGAGCTGAAAATTTTGGGAAATCAATAAGGCATCAGTCACTATACATGTAGACAACCCTGACAGGAGAAAAGAGACATGCAAATAAGTCTTGCTGAGATTCTGTGATTTTATGATGGGGTGGATTTGGGTAACGTCTACTGGCTGAGTGAACAAAGAATGACTCTGCTCCAGACAGTGGCTTTTTGTCTGGTAAGAGAGAGGACACAGTGAAGTCCCACAGCTTTCCTGAGAAAGAACAGGTTCTAGCTGATACAGAAGAAAATACAGTGCTGGGAGAAAAAGCTCATAAACTTACAGAATTTAAATCAGCCACTTCATTTACTGCACAATCAGCTAGATAGGTTCAGTCTTCAAATCTAAGCATGGCTTTTAATTACATTTTACTCAGCACACTCTCTTTTGCCTTGCTTGGAGGCAGAGGACAGTGATGTCATTCTCACAGGCCAAAAGCTACCATTTTTAGGAAAGTTACTTTGATGCATTCCAGTTCTCAAAGTAATTTTTTTGTTATTTAGACTTTTCGATTTTTTTCCATTTATTTTATGTTTCTTGTCTATCTTCTCCATAATAGTAAATAGGATAATTGTCTATAAAATGCACTCAACCATTCTGAAGCCTGAGTAATAGGTGGTGAACAAAAAAAAAAGTACAGCAAAGCATAAAAAAAACACATACAAATTGCTATTCCTCTTCATACAAAACTGCCTGAAAACTCCTGTGAATAAATGCACAGCAGGGCATAGGATAAATGTACAGAAGAAGCACACCCTGTCTGAACTTACTACCGCATACGCAGTAATTTCTCCGTGATGCACAGTACTTGGGGGCAAAATGAGATCATTTGTACAGTCCTAGTCACAGTAACTTTGTCAGTAAGAAATATATCTAAACTAGAAATCATGCACCAAGCAAAGGCTGCTTCACAAACAAACTGAAATATTTACTGCAGTTGAATTTTAAAATGCGTTTCTTCCTTCCACTTTCCCCACTGAAAAGACCTGATGAGAAAAACTGGCTCTGATTCAGTCAGCCTAACTCACAACCTGCAATAAACAGTTACTCACTAAACAGTCACTCACACACAACCTGCAATAAACAGTCACAAAAACGAACATTTCACAATTTCACCCCTAACAAGTTATCATCCTTCCTTAAGCAAAGCCAAATGAGTCCCTGTCGCACCCAGCGTTTGAAGTTCAAACTGATTTTGATACCCTGTACTGCTTCTAGTCGTCCGGGTCTCTAGCACCGATAGTAAAAGACTGTTTGAACCAACTCTGCCTTACTTGTGCCAGGCTTCTCCAGGCAGCCAGGTCCTTTGCTCACGCTGTCCTTTTCAGTGAGCTGTGGTGCGCTGAGCTGCTCTGCCGAAGCAAATCCTCTCCTGCTTTGGGGCTGCCTCTTTAATTCTTTCTCAGCAAACCTGGTTTATATTAAGCCCATCTGATCAGAGACAGGGCTTTTCCGTGACGTGGTTGGCCTTTCCATACAACAACCAGCCCCCAGCTGGGAGGAAGCAGACATGCAGAAGAGCAACAACTTGCAAACAATCTCAAAAGACTTACTCAAAATCATATGATTGTCTTTATATCGCCAGTAAAATAAACACATTTGGTTCTTGCGTGATGAAAACAGGAAAGTGGAAAAATCCAAAATAATACATGTTATTTTGCCTCACTCAGTTTTTTATTCAAATGCTACCAGAAATAATGGTGATTAAAAAATTACCTAAGTTTCATTAATACATGAAATCCTGTAAATGTATTATGTTCTCTGTCTGCAAAATACACTTAACCCCCTGCTGGACAAAACATTCTTTGGAATGAAATATCTGAATGTTCTTTTGGAATTATCTTAAAAGTAGGTATATTATTCTGTTGTTTGGGTTTTGTTTTCAGTTTTGTTTAAAAGCTCTAATATACACAATCCTATTTTTCTCTGTCAACCTCCAAGTGACTTCACCCAATTTCCTGAACTGTATAAGCAGCAATCAGTTCTGCTGCAACCGTCTACTAGTAAGGGCTTGAAAAACTTCCAGCTACAAATGCAGTGTTACTCAGCTGGATGGTGACAAAGATGCATCAAAACACGTAAAATCTGCACAAAGTTGGAGTAGCGCAGTGCTGATGCTGCCCCCAGGAAACGTTAATATATTGTGTACATGCCACAAACCCACAAACCCAGGGGCTGCTCCTTAAGATTTTATATTCTCAGAGCTTATTGTCAGAAGAAATATTGCCAGAAGGAAAAAAAATCCAAACCTGTAACATGTGCCACCTGATGACACTTCTAACAACATATGCAAAATACTCCTTGATTAACAAATGAAGAGTAATAAACTTTCACAGAACTTCTTGGGAAGGATACTACAACTTAAATGAAAGTATATGGAAACTCTAGAGTCAGCTCTCGATTATCCATTCTCTGGATTAAGTATGATGAGCTCAGACCCAAGCTCCTACAGCTTTCCTTTATGTTTACAATCTCCTAGTTACTCTATCAGCCCCTGAATCTAATAGGTGACTAATTCTTATGTGGCATGGAGGAAGTCTGAGCGGGGGAAAGAATATTTTTTTCATGATCCCATTCTTCTCACCCTTCTTGCTATAGGCAAGCAAGTCATTAACTGACAATGTACCTTTATTAAAGGGAGCAATGACATGCACAAAAGAACATCTCTTGCTGTGATTGCAGCTGAGCACTTACTTCACGTTCCTCTGCTGTAAAATTGATTAGTTCTCCTCTGAAAAACCAGACCTTTACAAAATTCTTAAACTGAAATCTGCTTGAAGATTTTCAGGGACCTCCTGAGCCCATTCTTAAGTTTGAAGAGCCAGGAGCTTTTCCAAAAGTAATATGCACCCATCAGTGTTCACGGAAATTATTCACATTTACAAAGGGAAGAACTGAGCAAAAATATGTCCTGATTTTCCTTCACCTGTGTTTCAGTGATTGGCAGCAGTGGAACTGGGCCCAAGCCTGCATCTTCACCTCCCTTGTCCCTTACACATCAGGCTCGGAGTTTCTGCAACTGAGTGATAATCCCAAAGAGTACAAAGTGTCACATCTCTCTGCATGGGATGCACTGAATGTCTTTTAATACTTACTGCACAAAATGCAACAACATCTCTGCCAGGGAAGGTTTATGGCATGGCCAATGATTTCAAAAAGATGTTTGCCATTGGCATACTCAACTGAAGTCACTCATTTTCTTGAAACATGCTGGAAATGATGCAGGGGAGTGGGTGGTTGGAGTATGGTGCTCTGCACCTCGGGTTCACTTAGCTCTCTTTAAGTTGTCTATAATTTGTCACTGCAAGTAAAAGAGCAAAACTTGTCCACCCCAGGACTGGAAAGATATATGGCCAGACTGATCTCAGCAGAACTGTAGGCTCTAATGTCTCACCCAAATGTTTAACATATATCATAGCAGAAAGTGCAGACAGCAGAAATAAACCAAAGTCAGAAAAGCCTTTGCGTTTAGCTATGGTTAGTGTTAGATTAGGAATTGCTGGGCATCATCTTCCATAACCTCTTCATAAAATTGAAGGTGGACAAAGAAAACACAGCTCTCCAGTGACCACAGAATATATCTCTCTTCTATAAAGCCATCCAGGGTTGTCCCAGCCATGGCATGAAGTGCTTGAACCTGGCAAATTTGCAGGTATGTTTTCTTTTGCACTGCCTCTTCTGAGCTTATTCTGGTTTTCAAACTGTACAATTAACTCTCCAGGTCTGTGCTGCTGTCTGCCTCCACATGATGAAGAGCTCTTGTTCATCAGGCAATGCCACCAGCAGACCTGAATTTCAGTGGTGAATTGGTGTAGACCTGTGGGGAAAACTTTGCCTGCTGTTTTTTACAGCTGGGGAGAGGCGCAGCATTTTCAGCCTCCTGGTACTTACTTGCAAGGGACGATAGCACGTTGGTTAATGAAATATATGAAGTAAGCCCTTCTCAACTGTCCTGATTTCAGTTGTAACAGTTGTTTTTAACTCCTTCCTAGTAGCTGGTGCAGTGCTGTGTTTTGGCTTCAGTCTGAGAACAGTGCTGATGATAACACACCAATGTTTTGCTAAGTAAAGCTTAACCTGATCAACGACTTTTCAGTCTCATGCTCTGCCAGTGAGGAGGGGCGTAAGAGGCCAGGAGGAAACAGACAGGACACCTGACACAAACTAGACAAAGGGGTTTTATATTATACTTTATTTATTGGACTGCTCTTATCTCAACCCGTGGGGTTTACATTCTTTCAATTCTCCTCCCATCCCACCTGGAGGGGGAGGGAAGGAGGGAGGTGAGCGAATGGCTGTGTGGTTCTGAGTTACTGGCTGGGCTTAAACCACAATATCAAGAGTTGAATATAGGTTTGGATTTCCAGATGCAATCCCATGGACCAATGGAGGCTGATGCAGTCCTGGACTACTCTGCCCTCTTGTACTCTTTGCTGGTCAACATCTCTGCAACTGGG